CTCGAGGATAAGATCTCTTAGGAAGGCATTCTGATGTTTAAGTCAATAATAAGGTAATAAAGTTGGTCAGGCTGAATTGTTGAGGATGAATTAGTCCGAACCAAGGATGAGGTATGAAAGCTAAGAGAGCAAGAGAATGAGAGGTAAAAGATAGTAAACCTTATGGGGAGATGTCTTTAAATAGCCGAATGTCAATGATGTACTCAATGATGTGGAGCATCTTGCAAATAAATATATAGAGCAATTGGATAGGAAGCAATTGCCCAAAAAGGAATGAAATGATGAAAATGCACAGTCCTATGGAAACACTCAACTTTCTTATTTGTTTCCTTTTTGAGTTTCCTAGTTTTAGTAGAGCTCTTATTTGTTTGTTTTCTTTTAGATTAGTTAGGAAAGGTGTAGGAGTTGTCTCATTTCTTATTTGTTTCCTTAAGAATTAGTTTCCTAGTTTGAATAAGTTTATAATTCAAGGCCTATAAAAGGGACCCCAAACCTTTGTTTACAAGCAGTAAATTTCAAATTCAATTTCTTCAAAGAGTTTCTTTTATTTTCTGGTGCATTACTAGAGTTTCAACCTAATGGATTCTAAGTCTTTTCTTATCAACGTGTAGCTTGCACGACATCAAATTCAATCACGATTTTCGTCCTGCGTCACTTGAACATGGACACACTCCTTGTGGGGTTATAAGGATGAGACCGCCTTTCGCAGTTTTTGAAAGGCTTTGCTTTCCCTAGAGGGGTGTCTATCCATAGGAGACGATGCTTGCCCTTATCCACTGACGTGACATTAATTAGTCCTTATTTGATGATGCGGGGCCAAAGACTTTGTCCACGAAGACATCCACGTGGCAGCTTTGACCGGCTGAGTTACGGTCTGAATAGTTAGAACAATATAATTTGTAATTTATGAGATTTAATGATGAATCAAGAAAGTGGGGGAGTTAGAGAGTAAAAAATTAAGAGATGTATGAATGTGACTCTTAGAGTCCTAATGAGAGTTAATAAATATAGTTAGTTAATGTTTTTCTTAGGTAGCAATTTTTTAATTAAACCTTGACTACAAAGACATCTCATTTGTATAATCTCACAACTCAAGCAATCAACTCAAAGAGAATAAAGAGTTCAAGACTCTAGCCAAGAGAGTCAAGTTTTTCTCTCAAATTTTTCTTGTTTTTGTGATTTTGCATGCATCTTCAAGTTTGATCCGTTGTGTTCCAGCGTATCACTTCAACTGTTCTAACAAATTTGGTATCAAAGCGTTGCCCAGTTTAGCCCAAATCTTGTATTCATGTTAGCACTTGGTTTCTTCCGAAAAGACAGTGCAAGATCAAGACTTGACAAGGTAATTCTCACTCACTCTCTCTTTATGTTTCTCATTGAGCTGAATTTGGTTGACTGGGCCGGGCATATAAATGTTTGGCATTTTTTTCCTCCCTGCAATGAATTTCGTTGTTGAGTTTACAGTTGCTTGATGAATTGCAATAGCTTGTTGTTTATTCTTTTTATTTCTCTGGGATTATTTAATTTCGTCTCACATGAGGAATTGCATTATATTGACGATGCTTATTCCACTGAATCGTTGTAAAATGTTATCGGTATACTTTTGCATCAATGATTTTTACACTGAATCGTTATTAAGTGACCGTTGTATTTTTGAAAAACGTGATACAATCAGTATAAAGTTTTACATTGATTTTATCAATGTAGTATTTACATTGATAATCGATGCAAAACTTTACATATGATGAGATTTTACATTGATTCCCGACATAAAACTTCACTTCATTCAAATGCATAAAAAACTGAATCGAAGTAAAATTTTACATCGATCATTATTACAAATGCAACCTAACTGGGTTTCAATTTAATGTATGTATGGAGTTGTTTGACGGTGTCATGATGAAATCATGACAGAGTCGGCATATAAGCATCAAGAAAGGGGAAGCATCATATAAGCATGATAGACATGATTGGCACAATCTAGTTCCTCTTGCAGCCTTGATCATCGACAGAGACTTGAATAGGGAGAAGATGGAGAGGCCAAGTGTGAGATATGGTCATGCATGCTGCTCAGATGTCTATGAAATTAAAGGGGAAGACTTTTTTCTAGTGAAAACGGATTGTCAAAGGAGTTTGGTGAATTTGCTGTCATTTTTCTATATAATCTCAGTGACTAATTCTTTTTTCTCTCTATTTAGGCTTTGTTTGGCATGTCCTTTTGCACAGGTTGTCAGCTGTTTAGAAGCTTGGCAGCCTGTGTTTTTGTCTTTTCCTGTTTGATTAGAGGAAGATCTAGTCGCCGAAAGACTCCACCTCGAAAATATGCAAGAAGCTCGATTTGAGCTTATTTTAGGAAGCTAAAAATGAAGCTTCTTTCCTTTTTTCATTTCGTCTTCATGCAAAAAGATAGGCCTCCAACTAAACAAGTGGGCTGCCAAAATCTTTATAGAAAAGCCCACTACGTCTTTTGTTGTCAAATCTTCTAGAAGATCTTTCAAAAAGTACTTGCCAAACAGCACCTTAGTTAAGCTTTTAGTTTCTCTTGTAAATGGTTGAAAAGCATGCATATCTGCATTCTTCAAAGAATATATATGAAACATGCATTTTTTTCAAACTTCAAACTTAAACCCAGATTTGAATTTTAAGGACTACCAGAGTTGAAGTTTTTGCTTGAGTGAGAGAAAGAGAGACTTAGGCTGTATTTGATTGAAGGGTTGCAGTGCAATTTTATCTGCACTAGTACAAATGCATGGGAGTGCAAATGAAAAAAATGCAAATTCTCGTTTAATTTTGTTTTGGATTTTATTTTATTCTGCTTTATGTCTTAATTTACTTTATTTACACTGCAATCAAACAAAATAAGCTAAAATTTAAAACAAAAATAGGTCAGAATTTACACATGAATCATTTGCACTGCCATAGTTTTGCATCAGTGCAAATTTACTTGCATTGCAACCAAACACAAAAGGTGTTATATGTGGTCTTTCCAGTTTTTCAAAGCTTGGAAGACCAAAATGTGGTCTTTTTATGTTTGGCAATAAAAGATAGAAAGGCAAAAAAAACTATACCCTAAAAATCTCATGGAAGCTCAAAATGGCCAAAAATCTAGAAGGTTCAAATGAAGCTTAAGCTCCATAGGCTCCATTTGGAAAGAGTACAAATACAAATATGTACAGTGTAAAACCATGTATTTTATATTATTATATATATGTACCGTACATATTTGTATTTGTACTCCTTCCAAACTGAGCCTTAATGTCTTTTTGCACCTTAAATATGGGGCCGTTTGACAAGTCTTTTTGGGAAGATCTTCTGATAACTCTGATAGTCAAAAGACGTATTGAGCTTTTTGCATTAAGATATGAGCAGTTTGAAGCCCGTTTGGTTAAAGCATGTATTTCCATGTGCCTTTCTACACGAAGACGAATAGAGGAAAAAAAAAACGCAAAAGCTCCATTTGGAACTTCCTAAAAATCGCCCAAATTGAGTTTTTTGTGTCTTTTCGGTGCATTCATTTTTGACAACTAAATCTGCCGCAAACCAAATGGAAAAAGACCGAATCACAATCTACCAGACTAGTAAATAACCGACAAACCACATAAAAAAACATGCCAAACAGAGCCTAAATGTTCATAGGTCAAAACCCATAGAAACAATTTCTTCAATCTCTCTTTGGTGACCCTTCACCAACGACCCCCATTACTTCTTCCCCCACTTCATCAACCATTGTTCGGGGTGCTTCAAATTAATGAAGATTCATAACCCAAAATTGATCGAGTACTTGAAAAATACGATTTACGACAGCCTAGCTAGCCTAATAATTAATGTTCACTAGTAAGGAATCTCATAAATTGATAAACCTTTTTGACCGGAAAAGCTCCAACCTGGAAAGAGAAATATTTCAGGGTATTTGATGGGGTCGTAACTTGGGCCCTGGTCAAACTGCCATGTGGATTGATGACGAGGACTGACAGTTGTCAGGGCTGGAAACCACCACGTGTCCTGAGCTCGGAGGACAATGGAAAACAGTGGCGTAGCTCATTCTCAGTCACAGTGGAGGCAAATGTTGAAGCATGTCAGACCAAGGATGAACTCAGTTTGAGGGCGCTCTTCATTTCAAAGAGATGAAATCAAGCGAGGACACCAAATTTAACCCTGTTATGTCTGGACTAAAGTCTAAGTGCCTTGGCGCCCAAAAAAGTAATGAAGGTAGTCCATTGACATCCACATGGGAGACGCCATCACACCATTGAGATACAAGAATTATCGACTGGTGAACAAGGACAAGGTTACTAGGATCTCATGGGTGGTCATTTGTGCAACTGTAACCACCCAGAGAGAAAATCATTCTCAAGCCATTGCCAGAGCTCGTCACCGAATCCGAGCCTGCACTCTTCCCACCCTACACCTTCACACAGCGTATACACCAGTAACCACCCTGCTGTTGGTTGCTACTGAAATAGTTCTTGCTTGTCCATTTTATGACTTTCTGTGTTCTGATCTCTTGTTGATTATGGAAACATGTGGGCAGTACCCATGGCACATGGACTCCATAGTCAACACACCCCTCTCGCACGCTAGTTGAAGCTGAAATCACAATTTTAGCTAGTTGTGTTACTGAACCAAATCATGATAAATTACTCCACTGTCAAATTCATGGCCATCTCTTCTCTTTACTTTAAGTTTTAACCCTTTTCTTGAAGCAGGGCGGGCGCTGGACCAGTGGAAGGAAGAGTGAGGAAAACTGGTCGATCATTACTTGACCACTCCGGATCTGCTACCCACGAAGTGTTCCCACATCTCTATCCACAGAGCACCACCGCCATGTATTGGGAACATCTCTCCATCGATGATAAGAGAGATATTCCCAATACACAGCTGTAATGTACCATGGTAGAGATGTGGGTAGCAGATCCGAGCCCTTAACACACATTACCAGCAGTACTTTTCAATATCTATAAACGTTTCATTCACTACTTCTGAAGCAGAAAAATATAACAGATCGAACAACAATGCCTCAAGATAATCAGATTGGTTTCATTCGAGTATCCATACATCCTTTTCCCAGGTTATTAGATAAACACTGATAGCTTTAAATTTAAAAAAGGAAAAGAAGGGGAAAAAAACAAGGCAATTCTAGATGCTCCTCCCCCACCCCGACCCAACAAATTTACGTTCCTACATTTTATAAAGCAGCTAATTTTTTTTCCCATAAATTAAAGAGAACTGCACTCAAATCCCCAAGATATAACAACAGTAACCCTCTTCCTGCCACAAATCCAACTCAACCCCCACCAAATACACAATGGCGTTCAACGTACGAACAAGCCACATTAGAGTTTGTAACCTTGCTCCAAAGGGAGGAGACAAACACATCAGTACGCAATAGGAAATTAATCAAGATGAAACAATAACCAATTGTTGGGACGGTGAACAAGAATTGCAGCATAGAATTGTTGAGTCCACCCTTCTCATTGCTTAAATAAATTCAGGTTGATCTTCTTGGTGGGGTAGCAGATAAGACCATATCCGCCGCATATTTGGCTGTACCCATGTGCCTCCCTTCACATGCTTTGTTCATTCACTAAGGTTGCAGTTGCGAAGGTAGGGATGGTCATACTTAATATACCTGGTCCAATATGGCCTGTATTTGGTCATTGCTATCTCCAGCCATGGCTTCATGTTACCATTGTAGTGGATAACTGCTGCATTCTCAATCTCCGACCGATCAATGCTTGGGTTATACCCTAACCCAAGCACATGCCAGGACTTTTGCAGTGGATGTGTCAGCCCGTAGAATGTAATCAGCCCAGGAGGTAATGTTCCAAGTTTCCACAGCACCCTCTCTTCGTTCTAATGCAAGCAAAGAAATTAATCAAGTTCGTGCATAAATGCATCCGATGACTTTATTTTCTTGGTTAATGTGTTTATAAATTTATATATAAATGGGCCTGCATGGAATAATAAAATGACAAACATGCAACTGGATTCAGGTTTTCGATTCACTTACCATGTTCTGCCACTTATGATAGATCCCAGTTATATCTCTCTTTTTCCACTCCTTCAGATCAAATATATTCATCCCATATGCCCAACCGCATGCATTTGGATTAAAGTTCCTTGCAATATGGGGGTTGGAGAAATTGAGATACTTGTCAAACCTGTGGAAACTCTCCCCACAGGTCTCGACTGCACCATTTACTTTTCCATGAAGATCCACAGACCATAAACCTGTCAAATCTTTCTGAACAACAATGTCGTCATCAAGAAACAGAATCTTATCCAACTTGGGGTAAACCTGTGGAAGGTAAAACCTAAGGTGGTTCAGCATTGAAAGATACTTTGGGTTCCTGTATTTCAAATTAGAAGAACCAGCTGAGAGAGTTGTGGGATGATCTGCCTTGAAATAGTATTCTTTCATGGCAGCAGATTCGAGTTGACGCAGAACTGGGCAGTAGGATGAGTTCAGCCATTTGAATTCATCAACATTTTCCACATGGATAGTGGCCTTTCCAGGTGGGTTTAACAGAAACCACATATTCATGGCTCCAAAGTTCAATTTATCGGTAACCAGATGGAATACGTGCTTCTCCGGTTCCTAAAATCCAATCAAGTGCAATATATTAGCCACAGCAACAAAAGAGTTTTAACATAGAAACATCATGGTCATTGAACCACGTGTTCCAATCTACAGAAGGAAAAAGAGAAAATTAAAAGTTTTTTTTTTTAACAATAACTAACAGAATTTATTATTTCCATGCAAAGATATATTGATTACAATGCCCATGTGCCTAGTACCCCTCCTAAGTTAGCTCAGCCCATTTATCCCTTGCATGTTTCATTCACTTGATATTAGTTCCCCAAGAAATTTGATTTGTCAAAACCTGCTTTTGCCAAATCATCAACTAGTTGATTAGCTGACCTTGAGATCCACCTACAATGTATTTCAATCTCCACTGGCAGCATTGCAATCTCCCTCATAATATGCAAAAATAAAATTAAAAGATTGAAAGAGAGAAAGGGAAAAAAATAAAGGTTCCTCACCTTGGCATTTGTGACTGTTGAATTGACAACAACTGAAGCAGCCAAGACATTATCAGAGAAAAGGGCATAATGATACAGATTTGGATCTTCCAAATTTTCACTCTTCGGAAACTTTCTTTTCTCTGGTGGGAGAAGATAGTAGCCTATGGTTAAGCGCATAGATAGACAGTGAATTCCATTTGGAATTGTCTTTGCAGCTAATTGGCTGAGGAATGTGCTCTGCTTTTTTAAGCTTCGGACCTGTTCATCTGCTGACTGAAGCATTGCTCTTAGCTTTCTAGTAACCAACTTGCAGTCATAAAGCTCCTCTCTTGCTTTTGCCAGGACTTGACCCATGGCTTTGATTTTCTCAGGTGCACTAATGTGTGCAATGAATACAAAGGAAATGCCAGAGCCATCAATAATGGGGACAGGAAAGTAATAGCATACTGAGGAAATACAGGTCTAACCCTAACTGTAATTACCTGCTACTAAGATCTGCATCAGTAGTTGCCTCTCCCAGAGCTCGTTGGCTTTCTTTAAGCCGAACCAGTAGTTCATGATCTAGTTCGAGCTTGTTCTTCATTTTTGCAATGCCTGAATACACCCTAGCCATGATCATTTGATCTCTCATCAAGCGTACAGTTGTGTCAGCATTCTCATTCTCAATATCCCGTCTCCATATGCTGTATTTCCCCAAAACTGCCGTGTCAAGTGCTTTTGAGCGTTCAATGGCAGCATTTTCTAGTTTAAGATTAGCTTCATCATCCTGGTGGATCAACTCAGTTGCCCGCTTAACACGCCTCTTCTCCCTCAATTTCTAAACGGTATTTAAACCAATTAAAAATAAAACACCTTAAATAAAGCATAGGTGCAAAAATAATCCATTGGAGATATAGATAAAAAAAATTGTGATAGACCACCTCTTTCTCTTAAATGTGAGGGATATAACAGAATCCTCCAGGCCATGAGAAACTAACCCCATGGATGTGGAAATTACAGAAAGCAAAACTGTAAAAGCAGGGATATTTACCCGACGTGCTATTTTTGCAGGTGTATCAACAAATTGAGAATGGTCATCTGCATCCAAACAAGATTCTTATGCATTAATGTCAGTTCAAAAATTGACATAACTGAAAGACCACCACATAACTGATCACTAAGAAAATAGTAGCCACCTGTAGCAACGGCATCCTGTTTCACTTGGGGAGTCCCTCGTTCTACAACTGCAACTGGTTGTTTTGTCTTTAAAGATAACCACATATCAAAATCAACAGATTAACTTTGTTGAACATGAAAAAACTCAAGCAATGTAAAAAGTCAATGCCAACATTTAAAGTTTAAACTTATGCAAAATGATGGTCACCCTTTACCTCTTCATTCGTAGCATTATTCTGGTCAAAGTTCTTTGATCCAACAACTTTCCATGAAGATATGTAGTTTTTTCTAACAAAATCAAGACTCCATGGATCCATGTCATTGGTGTTTGCCATAATGGTATCAATCACCTGTCAAATCTATTTAGTTAGTTTTACAAGGTCCAAAAATATTTTAATGACCAGGCATGCACCATTGTGAATGCAAAAGTAATTGAGAATATGCATTCCAGAAACGTCTCCTTTCATTAATTCCCACTTGCCTCTTTTGAAAAAATGGATTTTACATTTATGGCCAACTGTTCTCTCCAATCCACCTTCTGCACCATTTACCCAAAATTTTAAACACAATTTAGGTAATAGTCATAATAAACACGGCCAACTATCATATACAATAAAAAGTCTGCAAAGAAACAGTAGAAAGCACTAAAAAGGTTCGGAAAAGCTACCCGTATGCTAGAGTCACTTTGAATATTGTTTTGATCTGCAAAAGAGATAAATACAATCACATCCCATTAGTTTAACTAGAACAAATACAATGAAAAAGTGAAAGGGGAGCAAACACATGCATAAGAGCTGCTATCAATTTTAGGGTATCCTTTTGCTAGGAAAAATGAAAGGGATAAAAAGATGGGCATGCCAACAGATTTTCAGCACAAAACACATGAGATAACTCTAACAAATATTTCATTTTCTGTAGGTTTTTCTATCAGGATTTATCAGAGCAAAACCACCATCGAATTGAAATCTCAAAATTTTATGGGGAACAACAACATTCCATCAAGATTCTTATACTTATCTTTCTGTAAAATTTAACATGCACAATCATCTTTTAGTTGTTAAGAATTCCATCTTCTAATGCTCATTTTCTTTTTTTCCCTATTTTAATTTTATTACCTTACTTGTTCCCTCCTCTTCTAGTTAGGATAAAATAATATTTCCTCCTAGGTATTACTTCTTCCTTAACTAAAGGAGAATGCCAGAAAAAGCAAAAAGAAAGATGCCATGAATTATTTGGACAATCAAAAAAACTATGAGTATCAAGTAGTGGCAACTGGCAAGTATTCTATCAAATAAGATGTGGAAACCTGACAAGACAATACAAAGCAACAATGAGAAATCTCTGTCACCATTAATCAGATATAACCATACATAGAAAATGGTTAAGCATTGAACTTTTGACACATTTTCAGTTCAAACATAGCAACCCATATAAATTTATTATCATCTGAAACAATCAAAATCTAGTCTCTACAAAGAAGTCAGAAGTGTCAACTGTATATGGATGAGTTGAGCATCACCACTTGCTGGAGAATGTTAGACAAGTGAATTATTCTAGAATCTCCTCAAGGATGAGGATGAAGTTGCTAATAAGCACCTTTTAGCTAAAGCATCCGTCATTCATTAATCTTTGCATGGAATATGAGAGAACAGGAGTTCAGTATAGAGGCAAAATTCTCAATTTTCTTTTTATATCAAAACCTCTGTGATAAAAATTAAAAAAAAAAACCTCCCTAGATACTAAACAGTAAACTTATTGCATTAATTAACCTAAAGATGACAACAAGTTAAAAAGTTTTAGGGTGTGTATTGAGTCTATTGACTGGGGCAGAAATGGAGAAGTGGGGTTGCAAATAATTTGAGAATTTACTATTTTACTGATTTTATATCTATATACAACAAATGATCCATGTAGAATCCGGATAGCAGTGGGTTTTCTGCCACACTTTTCCCATTTTAGCAAATTTCCAAATCAGGCAGGGCATAGTTGTCAAGGCATTGCCTTGGCAACTAAGCACCCTTGGCTGGGAGCCTTGCCCAAATATCTTGACTTGTAGCAATTAGGCACATGCCTAGGCGACAAAAATGACAAAGCGAGTGCCTTATTATAATATCATTTATATTGCTGCATCTTATTAATGTGTGTGAATAAAACAGCAACTGCATTCTTTTTTTTTTCTATTTTACTTTCCATCTTGAATTTGTATCATATAAAGTTAATAACCTTCTTTAGTTGCTAATTGATACGAAATTGCTCTATTAAATACTTATTATAGTTGTATTATTTTGAAAATAACCAAATTAATATATTTAAAATATTTTTATCGTTTAGATATGATGATTTGTCACATTTTTAGAGAAAATTTAATGTTTTTAATAAAGAGAATTGCTATTTTTTCAATTAATATGTATGCTGAATGGTATATATAACTAGAAAACTAGCCAAAAGTTAGTTCTTTATATTATAAAATTCTTATCGCCTAGGTGGGCACCTAGGCAACTAGGCGCCCCAGTGTCACCAAGAATCGCCTAGATGCCTTGACAACTATGGGCCAGGGTGGGGGTAGTTTTCTCATTCCATCCTGCTTCTCCAGTTCTGTCTAATGAATCCAAAAACAGGCTTAAAGAATTTTAAGCCTGAAAATAATTTTATATAGTTATAGGGTTTAAAACAGAAAAAGGATAAACCAATCTAAAGTTATAGTTCATTTTTTGTAAACAAACAGGGGTATGTGTTGTCAAAGAAATTGGGGGGGGAAGTTTTAGTAAACAAGCAGGGTTGAGTACTATTATAGAAAATGGGGGAAAGTTTTGTAAACAAATATGGATGTGTTGTTATAGAAAATGCGGGATATGTTTTTGCAACTTCCCACTGTACAGCCACTTGTACAAAAAAATATATCTAAAGTTGCCTGCCACTATAAAAGAACCCAAAAAAAAATCTCACAGCCTTCATATTTTTTTATCAGAAACGTTAACTTCATTAAACAGAAATTTAAATACAACTGTCACCCCTAGAGTAGGGTTTTGAGATACAATCACCAAGTCACAACACTGTCCAGAACATGTTCCCCCTAACAGCCTTCAATGTTCACCAATATAACACAGCAATTCAACTCAAAAAGCCTTGTTCCAACTTTTTGGAGACAGCTACACTGACACTGTTTTGCCACTCCACATTATCAAGGGTCACATCCTCTGGTAATTTGCAAATTCTTTGATGTTTTCTTGCTAACTCAACTGGTGTCCTTTTGGGCCTAACACACCAACATGATTTCTGATAAAATCAAATTAGATATTTTATATAAAGAATATGGCCAGCTATTAAGACAATGAATGGGGAAAGCTACAAACCAGATGCATATCATTTAGTGAGCTTTTCTAAATGACTGAGGAGTCTTCCATGTGACAAGACTAAAATAGAATATTCCATTCCCAATTCTATATCTCAACTCAGCCTTAATCCCAAGTATTTGGCTACAAAATCCTGTCCCTTCTTGTGAAAATCTTTGCCATGTTTTCAAAATGAACTCTTTTATAACAAAGATATAAAAACTAAACTTTTGAGTGGTTATTATTAATTGGGCAAAACTCCTACACAAAGTGGGGTATAAGGCTGAGATGGACAAGGAGAGTGAACAGATGGTCCATCTAATGAATGATCTGAACCAGCCACAGGATTCATCCATGTGGCACAAATAGGTGGAGAAGTGGTAGGGAGCTCCCTAGTGACTTACACATAGAGGTGTAAATCGGGTCGTGCTGGGCCAGAATGGCACAGCCCACGTGCAGCCCGTGCAAAGTGCAAGCCATTCTGTACCGACCTGCGAGCTGAGCCGAGCCATGCTTCCATCCCCTAGGATACTTTGGGGGATTGGCCTGGCACGGCCCACAAACCGAGCCCACACAGGCCCATGCCATGTCACGAGGCGCGGGCTAGGCTGATCCACGAACTAACCCTTGGGCCAGGCCGGGCCGCGGACCAGGACAAGCCATGTTCTTTAAAAGTTTTGAAAAAAAAATAATGAAAATTTTAACATAAATTAAAAAATAGACAAAAAATTAAAAAAGATCTTAAAATTTTATTTTTTATGAATTTTGATGCACACAATTGTTTATATATGCAATAATAAAATTTTATATATATTAATATATTATATAATTATTATATATAATATATAATATATATACATGTTATATATTATATATTTATATGTATAAAATATATATATGGGTTATGCCAACATATAAGCCGCGGGTGGCACGGCTCGTTGGATCATGCCATGTCATGCCGACCTATGGACCTAAAACCCCAGGTCTAACATGGCCCATACAATCATGTTGTGCCTAGCAAGGCCCGTAGCCCATCGTGCTAGACCGGCTCAAAATCGTGCCGGGCTGCAGGTGGCATGGCCCGATTTACACCTCTACTCACACACACGCACACACACATAGAGATGTAAATCGGGCCAGGTCGCCCGCGACCTGGCACGAAATTGGACTGGACCAGCCCGGCCGACACGACAGCCCACAGGCCATGCCAAGCCCGGCATGATGGTCCATGCCATGCTAGGCCAAGGGTTCGTAGTCCACGTGCCAGCACGGCATGGCACGACTACACAGCCCGCAGCATGGAACGGCCGCATGGCTTGTAGGGCCCATAGCGGGCCGCGCTCGACCCGTCCAAAAACTAGCTATAAATAGCTATATAGGAGGGGCATTTATGTATTTTGCTTATGGAGGGGAAAAAAATGACACAATGCCCCCAAATAGATTAGCTATATAACAACTAGTTTAGGGGGGCTTTTTGGGTAAAGTTATAAATAACTTTACAGTGACCAAAATACCCCTCCCAACAACTAAAAACAATTAGTTTTTAGGGTATTTTGGGCAATTGAATTATTTTCAATTCCTATAAATAGCCCTATCCTCCACCATTCTTCTCAACACACCAATTCAACAATTCTCTTAATCTCTTCCCTCTCTCTCATACATTCTCTACAATCTGAGTGAACTCTGATAATCTGATTGGTTGATTGTCTGATTCTCCAAGTTAGCAATTTGGGAGGCTTGGAACCTTGGATGTTGAAAGGCTTTAACCGTTGAAATCAAGTTGGGATTCTAAATCGGCAATTCGGGGTAAGTCCAATTAAATTAATTTTATTTTTTTAGAATTTAAAAAAAAAATGGCCGGCTCTTTCCAAAACCCCAAGTTTAGTAGCTCAATTTGGAAAATATTTAAAATAGAGGATGTTGAGGGGAAGGAGAAAAGAGTAATTTGCCAAAAATGTAGAAAAAGACTTTAGCTATTGTAGCAAGGGTGGTACTGGCCATTTGAGCAGACATTGTCTCATGCATGAGAAGGAAGAAGAAATAACCCACAATTTAAATGAATTGTTGAAATAATGGAAAATAAATTTTAAAAATATTGGGAGAACATTTCTCGCCGCCATGGCACGTGATCCGTGATCTACTAACCCCTTCGGTGTCTACAAGCTACAGTTCCATCGGAGTCTTGTTTAGTTGTTTTAGTGCAAGTACCACTGTACCAGGGTTGGCTAGATGTAGTCATGATGTAGAATATAGATTACAACTTTACAATTACAAGACAAAGGAGGGCATGATACTACTACATACACCGGATATTTCACCTGAAGCAGATGATGAAAGTCATGATTCATGAACAATAGTTGACTAGTTGTATAGAATTTTTTTTCAAATTATTGTAAATTTTGTTTTAATTTTATTTAATTTATTTGCTATTAATGTAATTTTGTATTTTCAATTTGTAACTATATTGTATTTTTTATATTTTATTAATTTATTACATTTTCATATTTCATTCATCCAAGTATGAAGTATCCAACCATTGTATATTTCAATATTTGTATGATTTGTAATGTGTATCACTATTCATTCAAATTTAAATGAAATAAAATTCCTATTTGAATTGTTTTATTTATTTATTTTTTGGGTAATCGTAATCCATTGAGTCTAGCCCGGTTCGGCCCAGACCCAAGGCCTGCCCTGTGGCCCAACCCGGCACGGCCCAAGCCAGTGCCTTGCGTGGGCCACTTTACACCTCTACACACACACAAAACATATACATATATATAATATATTTATGTATGTATATATATATATATATATTATATCTATGTATGTTTTTACAAGCACTTTCAACAAGTTCTTTGATAAAGTTACTGGATATGCTAAATCAGCTTTCATCACATTAATTCCAATCTAAGAAGGGCATAAAGGAATTGAGGGACATCTATCATCTTGGTATTTTGGACTCCTATAATATTGTGGCCAAGCCACCCAAGGTGTTATAAAATAGGTTCCCCAGGGAATCCAAATTAGTCAGGTGTTAGAGGTGGTTATTAGACATCATAATGACAATAGTTTGATGAGTTACTCTGGTCCAGCAGGGATTGACAATTAAAGAGCTGAATCCTATAGCAATTCTACAAGGGTTGAAATTAGCCTATTGAAAAGGATGGGGATGGAAAGGTTTGTTGTTAAAAGAAACTGTCAAGTAGTTCTAAGTCGGGTGCAATCTAGTCCAAGGGACCTTGAGGACTAAGATACCTGGTAAGAGAAGATCAAACCTTGCTTCCAATTTGAATTGCTCATTCAGATGGATCCCCAAGACTGCCAACAGTTTAGCAGATAACTTGGCCATAATGAGAGGACCAGGTGCCAATAAATATGTAACAGCTAACTCATGGTCTTTCTGACTGGTATGTCAGCCCTTGGCTGTTTGTAATCATTCTGCTTATTGCACCCACGGCTGTCAGGAGATGAGATGTTCTTACCTTTCTTTATTACAACAAGGCAGGTGCCTGTTGTAATATTATTACCACAGCAGCACGGCTACATATTATTACTATGTTTGTTAATACACCCTCTTGTATAATAAAAATTATTTATGCTTCCTTTAAGGATTTTACCATTAAAATATAAAAGACTCAAGGGTTTTAAGAAGAAAAAATAAAGAAGAGAAGGATAGAGAATTTTCTTCTTTTTTTTAACAGTTTTCTCTGAAAAGGTTCTGCCTGTTGTTCTTTTTCCCTTTTCATTAATCTCTCTATCTCTCAAGGATCAAAATTTTGACACAATACAACCCCGTATCAGCAAGCCGCAGATACTACAAATATAAGGGGTCTGGGGTGTTGGGGATTTTCAGGCCGACCCCTTGACCAATTTTGAGGAAAAAAACTAAAAAAAGAAAAAAAAAAGATGTTTTTTTTTTAAACAGGTAAGGTATCTTTTATTAAAGATAAAAAAAAAAAAAAAGATGTTTTGTGGCATCAAAACACCCAATATGCCTATTCATGCGTATCGGGTGTATTGATACTTTGAACTTTGCTCTCTCTCTCTCTCTCTCAAAATTTTTATTAGCATAAAGTTATAGCCTTCTTTAGTACTTATTATGTTAAAGTGATGTGTTTAAAATCATCTACAGAATCAGGAATGATTAATCTGGCAATAGAGTTTTTAAGGCATTGGCTATCTGTACACATTGTATTAAGGCATATACTTGTACAGCATCTCATTGTACAAGACTATACCTTTTGAAATATAATACATACTTTACCTTTTTTCAAAAAAAAAAAATGTTGTGTTTGAAATGTTAAAATTAATTGATTTAGAATACTGTTATCTTTTAGATACAATGATTTGCTATATACATGGTTCAAAGTATCAACACATGCAATATGCAAAAATTGCATATTGTGTGATGCAAAGGGAAGATACTAATGTTTCAAGCTTGAAGATTTGAATCAGGCCATCTCTAGGAAGGGTGTTAATGATTGAATACGGCCTTTCCTCCTAAATCTCAATATTTGGCATCTCAGTGGGTTCAAAAACCAATATGTATCATACAATACACACCAATAAATCGATGTTATTAATAAAGAATATTGTTATTTTTCCAATTTATATCCAATGTCAATTGGCATGTAAAATTAAGGAACCAACCTAGAATTTAGTTTTTTAATAGAAAAAATCTGTTTCTAAGCAATTAAGTTTCATTCTCAACACATATACCATGAGAACTTTAGTTAACTTTCTAATATATCTAGAGATTTTTTATAACATGAGTTGTTAAAACATACCACCATACATATCATACAAGTATTAATGCTATAAACTCTAGAGGTGTTCACACAGTATCTACTGCCACATCAGGTATGCATCGTGACTGATTGATACACTGTGCACATATTAGTATCCAGATATCAAGCTTCCGAGGTTTTCACTTCTGTTTTATTAGTTCAAGAAGTCTTCAGGAGCATTGACCCTTTGTCTCATCCCCCATATTCACTATTACATCAAAATCTTTGTTTGTCTTTTTACTTTGTGCAGTTCATGAATTTTGAGTATACTAGTATAGTTAAGCTTTTACATCAGATCAGCCTCCACTAATTCTCTAATGGCACTTTTCTCTTCAACTCCCATGAGAAATATTCACATTAAGTTCATTTCATGCTATAAAAAAAATGTACAAACACAGCAGTATAACTTCTTGACGTGCCAAGAATTCTGTTCATTGGATATTGTACCACCTGATAGTTCCTCTCTAGCAGAGCTCCTTGAAATACCTTGAACAGGCAACTGATCATTGAAACGAATGTCATCACAACAATTCCCAAACTCCATGATTTTACCCAATTACGGTCCCCTTCCTCCAAAAACAAATTAACCATCCAAAGATATCCTTAAATCATCACCAGATTTGCTATGCTACAACTCAACCGAACAAGTAAAATATTGGCGAACCAGCAATTGAGTATGGAATTACATTCAGTGACTAATAGTAGAAAACAAGAAATCCCTTCATCCATGTTATTTTTGCAACCTGGATTAGAAGCCCTAGAGACAATGTGGCAAAGTGCACTAGAAAAACGATCCCTCGTTTCATTTTTCAAGTTTTCAAAGATTAGGCTAGGCATGAGTAAGCTAAAATCGAAGAAAAGTGTATAATTAGGAACATGAAAACAGAGAATTCCATTTTGCCAAATCTGCATAAACGGAGACCATAGAATGCGAGTAGAGAGATGAACGAACCAGTCAGGGTGGTCGTGCGAATTCCTCGTCCAACAAGGAAAAGCATTGGCGCGAGGACCGAGAAAAAAAGGAGAATTGCGATAGGCAAGCGAGAGCCACCGCCTCTATTCCTCTGAAAGCCGGCACCGGAGGAGCCCCGCTTCAAAGCCATGCCGGAGTAAACCTAAAAATTAAAAATAAAGAGAACATAAATGGGAAACTGACAATGAAGAGAAACTAATTAGAGAGATCCAAAAAGGGAGATGAATGGGTGAAATTACAGTACGCAGAGATCTCTTGAAACCGAACCGAAATGTGCTCCTTTACTAGTTCAACTTCAACCCCAGTGGTTGACTGGTAGAATCGCTAGCTGACATCCGAAGACATAAAAATTTCCAGAAGAGAGTGTTGAAAAATGGAAGAACAAAGGAGAGGAGACAGGGAGGAATCAGGCGCGCAGTCATTAAAGGAGAGGAATGAAACCGGACAATGTAGGATAGAGAAAGAAAGGGAGAAGATGAGTAGAAATTGCTTTGATTATTTTTTTTTTTCTGAGAAAACAAAAAAATGGAAATTAGAAATGAGAAACGAATCGTTTTCGTAGGGATGTTGTCGGCAAGGAGAGTTAGTGAGTTACTAGTTAGATGATTAGATCGGGAAACACGTTACGTAGGAGGTTGCCCGTTGCCCCCTCCCCCACACTACTTACCCTACTCCGGGCAATCAATTTCAGAATTTCTCTCTTTCTTCGTCAGCCTTCTTTTTCCTTGATCCTTTTTCTGGATTTGATTGCTAATGGAAAAGGTATTACGTGTAGCGATGGCATATGATGCACGGTGCTGCTTTGCCTTTGGACTTTGAAGTGTGGACTTTCGTTACATCCGGATTTTGGGGTTTTTTCTGCTCTGGTATGGTCCGAGATTCGAATTAACGATTTTCATTTCACGGTCGTGATCACAAGGACACCTAAGGCTAATGCCTAATGAACTGGGATCTGTTCCCAAATAAAGTCCATCCAACATCATCTAACACTGTATGGTGTATATTTCACTACGAGACCTATTTATAATTCTGTGTCCATAATATCTCACCGTGAGACTGGGAGAATCTGGGGACCCATTATGCATGCAACGTGCAGATACCATTGATGTTGGAATGTTTTAGAACAGTTCTTTTGTTGTGAACAGATTCATCTCCTTTGGGACCTATCATGCATGAGATGTGTGGTGCCAGATTGGAATGACTTTTGTTAGTAATATGCATCCATACTGCAATATTCTTAATATTCTGTACACATGGGATCCGTGATTTCGTGAATGGTTAATTGGTTGAAATCAAACCTCGTAACGTCCCACAATATATGGCGCAGCCTTGTGGGGGGCTGATTTGAATAGTGGGTCTCAATTTCATGGTGAAATGTGCAATGCTTGATCATATAAAGTGGGATTGAAACTATAACCCCCCTTCCCCACCCCAATGTAAGTGTAGGTGGGATTTGATTCCAAGTCTTCGTTTCCTTTAGGCGAGAAACCTTGTAAACTAGTTGACAGGCACCTTGCAATGTCTGATCATGTGGGAAGAGTGTTAGAACGTCATTTGTTGTTCATCATCCATTTGCTCAAATTTCTAGGGTCCTATTTGGCAATGTTTTGTGAGAATGCTTTGTGCGTTCCCGATGTTTTCATGAAGCAGAAACGTGTTTGGTACAAGAAAAACAAAAAAAAAGGTGTTTTCACGTGAAAACAGCACTCAAAGAATGTGTTCTTTTGGAGTGAAAAATCAACACTCTCAAAGAACGCATTCCAAAGGAATGCACGGTTCCCACGATATTAACCCCTATTAACGAACACGTATTAACAATTCCCACGTGAGAGAATGGGTATTTTGGGTATTTTATACTAATGATAAAAAAAAGCCCTACCAAACATTTTCGTTCGATAGTGAACTCCTCCAACTTGCCTCTACAAATCTCAGAGGAAGAAGGGACTCCCTTGGCTCCAACCGAACAGCAAGCGAACGGTAAAAAGCACTAGTGACATTTCCGGCTAGGAACACATCAACAGGTATGTTGTCTCGTCACTGTACTTAGTTTTGTATCGTGTTCTATGTTTTAAACTCATCTTTTCTTCAGCTAGATTTTGCATTTGTTATATGTTATGTCAAATGGGTCTGGTTTCTTCTCTAATCCTATTGTTGTGTTTTGTTATGCCTTTTGTTATATATTGAATATCATGAAGATTGTCCTTTGTTACGTGTTATGAACCTTTGCAAAACTGATGTTATGAAATAATTTCATTATCCAAACGTTATTTCTATTCCTGTAGAATAAAAATTTGTTCTCAAAAAGCAATTTGCCAAACATATATGTTACTTCTAAAGAATAAGAAATAAAATTCTTGTTCTGGATCAGGAATTTCTAAAAGAACAGGAACAAGTAAAAACATCGCCAAACAGAGCCTAAGCTTCTAGCTCACACTAATTCGTTCCAGCTATAATAGATCACTAGTTTATCACTTCGTTGAAAAAATCAAACAAATTTTCCTCCTACATGGTTTAGACTTTAGAGTAGGAAAAACAAAGTATGGGTAGCAAATAGCAATTTTCACCATCAGGAATCAATTTAACCTCAAAAAAATAAAAATCAAATGACTTCGAATCCATTAGCATGAACCATTCAGAGCGTGAATGTACTTTTGTTAGAGGCGATCTCAAAGAGATTTCTTTGGCGGAGACACGCATTTGGTTTCTCCTTCCCCTTCCTCCTTCTGGTTTCTCTCCCTCCTCCCTCTCTCTCTGTTTTGAGAGAGCCTTCCTCTCAAGTTTTCTCGAGGCTTCCTCTTGAGTTTCTCAAGGTTTTGTTTATTTGTTCGTGGTTTGAATCTGTTCGCGGTTCTCGTTCAAGTTCTTTGTTTGTCGACGAAAGCAGTCTTTGGTTTCCTTCTCTACCAGTTCGTGGTTCTTCGGTTGATGGTATTCATGGTGAGATCCGTTCGTTGTTCTTTGGCGATGACAGTCTTTTGGAAATCCTCCTTTGTTAGTGATTGAAGATGTGCTTATTTACTTTTATTAATGTTTTGACCTCACCATTTCTTAATTGCAGAAGATATTTTGATTCTCCTTTATGCATTGTTTTATTTTATTCTCTTAAGAAATTATTTCTGGATTTTCTGATTGACTTGATTGAATGAAATATGATCCGTAATGGCGATTAAAAAAAAAGAATTCATCAGCAACGTCTGCAGCACATGAGTCATGTAATTATAAGGTATTAATTCATTGAAAATGGTAGGTCTAGTTTGGTGGCTTGATCAAAATTTAGTTGCCACGTGGCAGATCGAACAGTTGCTCTCTCGAACGTCGGGTCCCAAACATCACTCCTTCCGAGCTTCCATAAAAAGCCACTGGTTAGTTACATTGGATTACAGTCAATTAGCTCTAATATTTTATAATTATATAACCTTGATAAGATCGTAACTTATTTTACTACATGTTGTCATCTTGTCAAATATAGATGACACAATTGTTTTTATTTATTTATTATTTTGGTAAATGATGACCCGGAAGTTGGGATGATGCTTGGCAATCACTCTAAATATGAGATACGGGATCAAACTTGCACAGCTGGCAAATATGACCAAGGGGCGTTTGGCATTATGGCCACTCATTCCATAAAGGTTGCCTGGATGTATACTCAAGTATTTATTTCTGGAAAATTAATTCCGTGCTGCTTTGTATCTGTGCATTTGTTTAGGAATTAGCCCTTAATTGGAAATTGAAAGTTCAGAGGGGTTTTTGTTTCAAATAAAAGTTCAAACTTCAAAGTATCCCCAAAGTACAGGTTGTTAATCTATGATTTACACAATAAAGGAAAGTATCAATTCCACAATATATTTCTCAAAAATAAAATCCACAATATATATCTTATGTACAAAGCATGATATGGATGGTCATGGCCGGGCCAAGATCTGAGCCTAAGATATAAATAATATATTGCATGCTAGGCTAGGCATGAAGTGTTGGGCCCAACTCCCGGCCCAGGCTAGAAATTTTGGGGCAAGGCTGGGTTGAAAATGATAAACCCCCTAAATGAGATGCACTCCTAGATAAGGTCCCCACTTGCTAATTTTACACTTCCAAAACTAGTCATAAATCAGATGGTCAAAATATTACCACCCTTCCTTTTTGTCCGTACGATCTTTGAATCAGATACATCATAATTAATATAAAAAAAAAAATGATACTACGCCTAAGACTTCCGAATTTCAGTTGCATGAAAGGTTCCATTTGGAAAGACATAAATACAGTGATTCTAAATCATGTATCTGTATTATACATATTTGTGCCCAAATAAGCCGGAGGAGTACAAAATGTAAGGTTTTGCATTTTATATATTTGTATTTGTGCTCCTTTCAAACTGAGCCGAAAGTACAAATAAAATGAAAGCCTAAAGTGTCATTCCGTAAGGCAGCACCAACACACAAATGCTGAAATTTTTGTTTTTTAGAGCTTTGGGCTGGGTCGTTCAGTAGCACCTCTAAAGTCTAAACTTAGGCCTCCGAACAGGAAAAACTCTCTAAGATAATTCAGCAGAATTTTAGACAGTTGTGATTAGAAGAGGAAGATAGGAATACCCAATTTTTTAATAGGGCAGATACAATTATAAGTTACAGGAATAAAATTGATTGGATCAGACTTGAGGATGGAAGCTAGACGAATGATTTGGATATGATTACCCAAAGTTTCATTGACTATTATAAGGATTTGTCTTCCCCTCCTGAGGTCTGTAATTTGGATTCTATTTCTGATTTGTTGCCTCCAATTATTTTTGAAGAGGAGAACTATGATTTGACAATGAAAGTGAAATTAAAATAGGCCCTGTTTAGTATTGAAAGTCTAAAAGTTCTAGGGCCTGATGGAATACATGCTACTGTTTATAAACATTTTTGGGATAATATGAAAGATGACATTAGTGAGTATGTGAAGGATTTTCTTTTGTTAATAAAAAATCGTGAAGAGGTTTAATCATACTTTTATCACTTTGGTTCCTAAGAAGGATAATGCTTCGTTTATTAAAGATTTTAGACGTATTAGTTTATATAATGTTATTTATAAGATTGTGGCTAAATTGTTGGCAATGAGACGTAGACCTCTTCTTGAAAAATGCATTTTTCCGTATCAAAACGCTTTTGTTCCGAGTAGGCGTTTAATGGAAAATATTATCATGGCCCATGAAGTTCTTCATTATATGAGGAAATGTAAGAAGGGTTCTAGTTTTGTTGCTATTAAGTTGGATATGATGAAAGCTTATGATAGGATGAGTTGGGATTTTTTTAATTAAGGCTTTGAAGGCTTTGGGTTTTTCTAATAGTTTTTATCAAATGATTTATTTTTATATTTCTTTTGTTTCTTATTCTATTTTAATTAATGGTTTTGATGAAGGCCATATTATTTCTTAGAGAGGCCTTAGACAAGGTGATCCTTTATCCCCTATCTTTTTATTTTGGGAATGGTAGTTTCATCTAGGATTTTGGTTAAGGAGGAAGATCTTGATAAAATTCATAGTACTAAGATAGCTCGAAATGCTCCTTCAATTTCTCACATTCTTTTTGCTGATGATGTTTTCCTTTTTGTTAAAGCTTCTAGAGAGGATATTGCTAATCTTTTGGATATAATTACTCTTTTTCAAAATATGTATGGGCAAGCTACTTATCAATTGTCAAAAAT